ACCCCCCACCTCCTTACCCCCCCCGCCACTTGCCTCCTCACCCCCCCGTCCACCCGCCACTCGCCTCCAGTCCTCACCGCCCACGCTCACCTCACCTCCTTACCCCCCCACTTGCCTCCTCACTCTCCCGCTTGCAACCAGACCCTCATCCACCCTCCTCACCCTGCTGCCTCCTTACTCCTCGCCGCTTGCCTCCTTAATCCTCCGCCAGCCCCCCTCCCCCACCACTCACCTCCTCACCCCCCTGTCTGCCCATGCTCACCTCCAGTCCTCACCCCTCGCCTCCTTACCTATCAGGGAAAACATAATAAATTCTACCAATGCCTTACACCCTTTACCCCTGCCTGTAAGTAGCTCAGTAACGAAGAATCAATATTTCATTGGGAGGTCACCTCCTAACAATGACCCAAGACAAGATGCCGATGCCAACATCATTCACTCTCCCAAACCGCCTTTGAGGCCCTTACCCATGTGCCAGCCTCCACTGGCCTGCAGCCCACAGCAGGAGTGGCTCCAGGCCTGCCCTGCTGAGCATTCAAAAGAGGCTGGTTCAAGGCAGTTAGTATTAGTACACCACAGCAGTTAGGAGCCCCAGCTATGGAGCAGGACCCCATGGCACTAGCCACTATACAAACACAAAATCAAAAGGCAGACCCAGCCCCCAAAGAACTCACAACCAAAGCATAAGACAAGAGATAACAGATGGAGACAGACAGATGAGGGAGCACAAGGAAACAATGAGACAATATTGGCCAGCACAACAGGCAGTAAGAGGCAATTGCTCTTTCTACTTCAGGTTGCTCATACAGGGAGTCCCATTTTCCCTCCGCTTCTGTCTAGTGTGTGTATACCTTCAATGGCAAGGCAGAAGTGGGATTTGTTGTAATAGCAACTAGTGCAGAAAATCCTGATTCCCAGAGATGCTGTGGCAAAAGGCACGAGTGCTCTCAAAACTGCACTTAGTAGTTCTGGGTATTCCCCCCTCATAGGTTTGTGTTTCAATCACCTTTAAATGTTATATTTGATACCCATATGCTTTACAGAAACTGTCCTGGTGAATGATTCCACAATGTTATAGGAACTAAAGCAGTTCATTTTCTGGCAGCTACATATACAGTGGGAATAGTTTGCTGGAGCAATTTAAAGAGAGGTCACATGTCAGTTTAAATGCTACAGGAGTGCACAATCAGTATCAATAGAGGAATTTTGGAGTCAGATACAAAGATGTTGTGCATAGTTTGGGGGAGATTCTGCTCCTCCTCTGACCGCTCAACCGGTAGCCACGTAACTCCCTGCTTTCTCCATCGAGGAAAGAAAATGCAAAGTGAATGTACTTGGAAAGCAGTTTCCTCCTCCCCATACTTCTCTCAAGTTGTCTCTTTTCCCACCTCACCCTACCCCCCTGATTCACCATGCGTATCCCTCCTCATCTCGAAAGCTCTGCGGGACTCCCCGCATGCCATAACCCATGCCATAATGCCTATCAGTACTGGGGAAATTCAAGTTGTTTAATGTCTGCATCAGAATAATGCAAAGATAAAAAAAATTCCACTTAGCTAATATTATGAAGGCACTGGTCATGGCTCCATAGTTAAAGTCAGGCAATGTATGCAGAAAGTTCAATAATTAAATAATTCCACCATCAAATCTCCAAAACTAGTCAAAGACAGTCATCGCTGCAAACAGACAGATTAAAACAGAAGGGGAGTTCTAA